ACAATAACAAGTTTTGTTTATTATGCAATTGAGGACATCGTGTTCAATATGTGACAAATAAAGATACCATCCATATCATACTGAAAAATAATCAAATTTGAGCAAATTGGTTCGCACACCATTAGACCTCACTAAGACCACACTAACAAATAGGTTGGAGACAGGGCAGATGACTTACTGAATTTCAATATTTCACGCCTAACACTCTTGACATGTTCTTAATGGAACAATATGCCCAAACGAAATAGAAAAAGAAAAATTAAATTTCCAAAGTGGCTTATGTGTCGGTGTGACAATCGTTGGATTTATCTTAAAAATAATTTGGACCTTCCGTTTTCATCCTCGATGCGATTCCACTTGTCTGTTGATTAAGATTAAAAAACAAAAATGGGAACAATAAATTATTGTCATCAGGCGATGCGAATCCATTGAAATTAACTTTTTTTAAAATAAAACAAAATTTTTTTTTTAAACAATCGGGTTTAGAGATGGTGGTACATTTCTATCTGTTCAAGGTACTGCCTAATGTGTTTGTCTAGAGATTAATTTTACTTGATAAGTTTTATAATAGAATTTTATTAAAAATTTATTAAATTTTTAAAATTTTCTATTTAATAAAAAATTAATATAAAAAAAGTTCGAAAAAAAATTTTAAGTGAGTTTCACGTGGACAAAATTGAGGGAGTATTTTTTTTTAAGTGTAAAAAAAAATTATTGATTAAAAGTTTTGTTTAAAAAAATTAAAAAAATTATTTTTATTCTCATTTTATTATAATATATATGTAGGTGTGAAAATAAGTAAAAAACTTTAAGATGAAATGTTAGGGAACAATTTTCCTTTCTAATCATATACACGATCCTTTTCATGGGCTTTCTTAAATTGGGTGATACTATAAGGATAATTTTTTTATTATATATTTTTGTACAACTTCTATATGTTATTAAATGAGTGGATGCGTTTAATATCACGGTCTCACATGAATTAAAAAAATTAATCATTTTAATGACATATCAGATTATACAAAAAAATAAGATAAAAAAGTTATACAAAAAACATTTCCCCCTTAAATTACTTTCTTCGATCCAAAGTAACCAAAAAAGAGAGCTAGTGTTTTTGGTTTAAAAGAAATCGGGGAAACTAGAGCTTCTTCTGCTCTCTTATCTAACTTGCTACTTAGCACAAAAAATATAGAGACAAAAATAAAAAAAATTGAGAAAAATTAAGATGTTTTAATAAATAAAATGCTAAGATTATCTAAAAAATTTAAAATACAAAAATTTTCATTAATATTATTTAAACAATTTCACATAAATACCAAAATGCCATGACTTATAGTTTTCTCCATAAAAAAGGCAATTATTGCCTATCTGTATTCATTTTGGTATGCAAATTTACAAAGGAAAAAATGTTGTCTCTAAAAATCCAGATTCCTGAAAATCATTGTAATTTGGTCCTATTAATTTCTCCTAGCTAGCTAATTTCCCTCTTAGCTTTCTCTATTTTCTCAAGAATTCCCTTTACTGATAAATCAAATGCATCCTGACTGGTCTCTAATCTAGACCTTGGATCTGCATAAATTATGCTTGGAATCAATCTTATTACTTCTTCCCTCATAGCTAATTCTTCATCTTTGGAAACTTGGAGCAATGTCTCGTTTATTAGAACCTTCCCCTGTCTCAATTCCCTCGGTGATACAAACACCGAATACTTACTATGATTCTTGGGTAAATGCCATACATATTGCGAATAAGCACTCTTGGGATGGAAAAACACCGGGATACATCCGGCCAGAATCGAATCGAACGTTGATCTTCTGGTAAATGAGTCCCCTGGTGGCTGCAAGCAGAAGACAGAGCTCTGAAACAGCTTCATCAGGTTGACAGGGTCGTCGCATTCACGTGCCACGGTATTGCAGTCCAGCAGCTTGCAGGTGGTCTTTGAAGCTGTGCATTGTCTGATAATCTCATTCCGAACTGACCCTTTCTGCCTGAGTCTCGCAGCACCGGCGAAGGAGAAGAGGTACGGCCGTCTCTGTTTCCTCATCCTGTCCTGCCATTGCAAAACTTCACCGTCTGTGGAGGGGTGGAAGTATGTCGGGTACGGTATGGCAAAGTCGTTGTTCCAGGAGCCAGATTCAATAGTCAACATCGACATGTTCTTGGATTCCGGTAAAAACCTAAACTTGCTGCCCCAATTAGAGTTTCTGTCCGATTGTCTCCTGAAATCATTAGAAATCCTCCCTGAAACCAAGAAATGATCCCTTCCCCACATTTTCTTCCACTCAGGTTTTTCCAACAGCCATTTGACCAGATCAACACCGGATGCATCTCTCATGGAAGTCCTGAATCCCCAGAGGTAGCGCCGGAGGTCCAGACCAGCATAAAATGGCACATAAATCGCAGAAGCAAGAGAGGAATCATTGGTCAAACACTCATATTTCTTCATCCTGTTATGGAAAATAACCTCCAAGAAGAACTGATTTGTGGAGTACCAACTGTTCGCCGACAAAACCCCACCTGAGTTTTGAATCCGAGGACCCAACCCCAAGTTCGCTACATAACTACACATACTAATTCTATCAGTGGCCCGCGTTGCTAATTCACAGTTCTTGAGCACATTTTCATTGAATTTACTAGGAAGATCATGAATATAGATGTATCTGCCCGAGCACGAATCGATTTCAGAAGGTTTGAACGGTGAACAATAGTTTTGATTCTTCTTTCTATTTGGATCATTGGTAGTACTATCGCTGATTGATGAAAAACTGAAGCCTTTATTGTTCGAAACTAAGAATAGGTAATGGAAAATGAACAGAAGAAGGCAGGAAAGGAGGACGAACCAAAACCTTCTACCGTAACACTTCGGGCCTGAATGATTTCTCCATTTTCTCTTGATGGGGTGTCCTGCAACACGGTATTCTTTAATCAATTCATGAGGGTTCATGGCGGCGGGGGGATCAATGCAATATGGAGAAGACGTGTATATTAGGAGAAAGGTAGAAGGCAATTGGAGGAGGAGAATGGGAGAAAAGAGCGTTCGGAGTTGAAACCTTCCTCAGTTGGAATGGACAAGATGGTTGAGTTTTACAAGTAAAATATGGCAACTAGACCTTGTTGAATGCGCAAAGAAATAATTATGGCTTAAGCAACTAATTAGATTTTATTACATAATAAAGGATTTTTTAAAATTGTACCCATAAGTGCATAGGGTAAAGGTATATTATATATTTTAATATTAATTAATATTAAAAAAATATAAAAATTGTCATTAATTTCATCACTACTGTCATGTAAATTATTTTAATGGATTAATTATTTAAAAGATTTTTTTAAAGTTGTATCTTAAAAATGCAATTATTGTACCATTTTGATATTAATTAATATTGAAAAAAAATAAAAATTAACTTTTATTTAAGTAATCATCTAATTAAGATTATTCACGTGATACTAATGATGAACTTAATAACAATTTTTTATATCTTTCAATACTAATTTTTTTTTTTTTAAACAGTGTGAAATCTTTTTTCTTAGGGGAAGGGGGAATGGGGGGAACTTGGGATTGATCCCAAGTCTTTGTAGTCCCACACACGTCCCTTATAAGGGGTGGCCATTTGGCCACCGAATGCGGGACATCTTTCAATACTAATTAGTGCGAAAAGAGTGCAATAATTACATTTTTAAATTCTATCATTATGGTACATGTTAAAAAAATACTTATTTAAATAAAGGTCAACTTTTTTCAATATTAATTAATATAAAAGAGTGCAATTAGTTACACTTTTAATCTATACTCCAAGCTCTATAATAAGGGTGGTGCTATAGGAACAATATTTTTATCTCATCTTTTTATACAATTTCTAAATGTCATTAAATGAGTAAATGCATTTAATATTACAAATTTCACATGAACTAAAAGAACTAATCATTTTAATGATACATCAAGTTGTACAAAAAAATGTGACAAAATGATTGTTCTAATAACATTTCCCCTATAATAAAATGTTACCCTATACATTAATTAGAATATGTATTTAATAAGTAAAAAAAAGTGCTGTAAAAATTAAAAATAATAAAAATAATTATGAATGAAAGTGGTAAACGAAGATGTAATATTACTTTACTAATTTAATAAAAAAAAATGAAGAGTTAAATGCAATAGAGAAACATAAACTCTCTACCATTACATTTATCAATTTATTTTGAAAGGTGAAAAATCTAAATATTTAAAAATTCTTAAGTAAAAATTAGGAAATGAAAAGAATAACATTAATTTACTAACTTAATAAAAAAATAAAGAAATATGTTTATTATTGTTGAAGTAAGGATAAAAGATACTGCTAGTAAAGTCTTTCATGTGCTGCCTGAATCATAAAATTAAAATGATTGAATGAACAAGATTAATACTTAATATCATGAAGTATGTTTCTCTTTAATAATTTAAATTGTGTAATTTAGTAAAATTTTACCACTTCTTTGTTACTATAACGAGAATTAAATGCATACAGAAACTAAGAGCATTAAAATAAGATAGAAAATTTTACTAACAGTATTTTAAGAAGAGAATTTCTCCATAATTTTTTAGAAGGAAAGGAAGTTAGAATACAAATCTCATTGATCTTATTGTCACACCTTCTATTATAAATGTCATATATTTTTATTTTAATTAATTATTATATTTTTGAATTTAATTATTAAAAAAAAGTATAGAATTTCTAAAAAAAATTAATGTAAAAGTAAAATAAATAACTATATTTAAAAAATATAATATTAATTGTTTAAACTATAACAATAACCTTACCTTATAAATCGGTTAAGAAAATCAACGGATGGAAGAAATGTTCAAAAGAAAAAAAGAAGAAGAAAGTCAACGGATGAAAGAAATGTTCAAAAAAAGAAAAGAAAAAAAAAAAAAGAGGCCTACTGATTAACTGAAGACTTGTATAAGAAGGAAACTTCACCGAATATTATTATTAACAATAGCTAATGGGAGAGTTGCACCCACGCCAAGGAAATGAGAGCTAAGTAGTTGACATATATATTATGGAAATTGTTATATTTTGAACCAAAAATATTATTATAGGAAGTAATTTTATATATGTAATGGGTAAAGATATTTTTTGTACTTTGATAATAAACATAAAATAAAATATTACCAATAAAAAGAAAAGAGAAAAAAAAAAAAAAAACCAGCTAATGCAACCAAGTGTGGCAAGCTTACGCCAATTTCTAGTCAAATATCTTTTGTTGTATGAAAATGAAATTAGTTTTTTCAAGAATTTTCTTCGGGGGTAGGCAGAGGAGGATTGACTGGCATAGAAGCTTCGACGCATCTTAGAAGCTTGAATAAGTATTTTTTAATAGAAATTGTTTTTAAATTTAAATTCTATTAAATTATAAATAAGTTTTTGTTTTTAATAGTATGATCTTTTAAAAAAAATAATATCGAACCGCCAATAAAATTAATCAATTTCTTTTTAGCTTGGTTAGACAATATTATATTGTGCAATTATTTCTTATTTTTTATCTCATTCTATCCGTATGTTATGCGATTTGAACTCAAGATATTTTATTTTTAGTGAAAAAAAATAATTATTAAGTTATTTAAATTATTAACAAATTAATCAATTTTTAGACTCATTATAACCAGTGAAGTAGCAATTAGCCAATTATGGTGGTAACATTATTCAGCCACCGCCCTTTTATTTCTTACCATAGTGATACATTTATTTTAGTCTATACGATGACTGGATCACAATACTCTCAAAATTAAAAATACTTAATTTTAGACTATATAAAGGGAGACTCACTAATTTTAATTATTTTACTCACAAGCCATATGAATTAAACTTCATATATTTTATTTTTTAATACTAAACTAAAATATATGTCCTTAGTCATATATTTTAATGATAAATTTATCTATATTATTAGTTATAAGTTTAAGATTTAATTTCTAATTTTTATGTAAAGGAAAAAAAAAAAAAAGGTCTGGAACGCCTCTATAGTGACCATGACCATGACCGTGACCATGGTGCCTTGGGCTGCCTCCACAAGGATGACGCCCTCGCTTTGGGTGATGCTAACTCTCTGTGGTTTGACATTTCTCCTCTATATACGGCATTGAGGAGGGTCTAAGGTTGTGGAAATTGTTTGAGACCGGAGAGGAATACATAAATGGAACGTGGGATTAGGGTAATGTTTGCATCAATGTTCTTAGATCTCGTATTGCATCGGGCTGATATATAGTTAGTATGTATCGGTTTAAGAGTTAAATTAGTATATTACATTTTGAGATTAATGCTTATCCGTTTTACTTTTAAAAAATTAAGAAAAAAAAAGAGATAAAAGAGATAAAAATCACTTTAATATATGTTTTAAAAATAAAACAGTTTAATTTTTTTCAATAAAAATTTATTAAAATAATATAATTTTAAGATGATTTTCTCTTAATCTTTAAAAAATAAGGTTGATAGGCACTATCTTTTTATATTTTAAATATTGTCTTGAGTCAAATAACAGCCATACTGATAATATAATCTGAATTATATCTAAATAAAACAAAAAAAGGAAAAGAAAACTTAAAAAATATGGATTTTCTTCGAAGTCTAACAATATAAAGTATAAAAGAAATACTAGACGTAACACTTTTTAAAATTGCAAGAACCTCTAAAGCAACAAATACAGAATTTTATATTAATGATATATTAATCTGAATAAAAGAAATTTGATTTCTATTAAGTAAAGTTTTGAATTTGAATCTTGTAAATAAAAAAATAGATATTAAAAGAACTTCTCCTAATAAAATTTGATATGATTCAATTTTAAATTAATCAAAATTTAATATAATTATCAAATATTAAGAGTTTAATAAAAAAAATAAATACAAAACTTTATCAAAATATTAAATGAAACAGTAAAAGTTTTAAAAAGAGAAGAGGAGTAATGAGTTTTAGATTATTAATGGTAAAAAAAAAGAAAAAAGGATGTAAAGTAGAAGTACCGTACAGATTTTAGTCTTTCCATGAGATAAATGAGAGGTATGGTTGTATTTCACGTGCGTGGCCCAATGCCACATGTTGCCTTTTGGAAAGCCCGTGGTTTGCATAATTTGTTTTGGATTCAAAATCCTCCTTATTTATTAATCCTTCTACCACACTAATATTTTTAATCATTGTCTTTTTTTAAAAGAAAAAAAAGTAAGGTTACATTTGATGAATTTGAGTTTATTGATTAGGATAAATTAATTATAATTTATTCTCTCATTAATATTATAAATATTTTAATATAT